GCATGATGCGTCTACTGTCATTAGGACAGTTATCGTTTCGAATATGATCAAAACAACTACGTCTGATAAATCATTGACTCCGTAGGCAAATAGATGAAAAATGTCCTCTAATCTTTTCTTCGATATGAATCCTCTTGATACTTATTTCGTCAATCAGTCCCACAATCCTGGCAAATTAACTTTCGTAAACGCGTCGTTCTGAGAAAAAAGGACGGCTATACAGAAGCCACGTCGTCCTTTCAATTTCGACTTGAAAACATATCCATCGCGCACGATCCTGCGAGAAGTCTCGCGAGTTAGTTCCTTGATTTTAAGAGCTAAACCGCGATTGGCTAAAAATGTTTTACGTCACGGAAATCGTTTTGTCGCTCGGGTTCGCAGACGCTATTTTTCGGAGGGAGAGAAGCGACGACCGGAAATGCGTCTGCGCCTCGCAGGCTACTGATCACTCGACTCTCCCGATGATTTCTCCCAGTTTTTTTTTTTTTTTACAAAATAAAGAACTTCTTTTTTCTTCTGTGGGTGAACCTCTACATGATCACGGACACATATTTGCATGACCCTCCCCCTTTTAACGGCCCATTTTTCATGACCCCTCCCTTTTCTGCAGTCTCAAAAAGTTGTGACCCTCCCTCTGTTTCCACCCCCCTACCTGCCCCCTGCTAAGTTCTGACAAGTCCCTTAGCGGAAAATTCGAGTTATCAGAGTTCGAGTTAACCGAGTAAAAATGACTGAAGGATGGGGTGAAATCTAAGGGAAAGTGGACGTAGTTCGAGTTAGCGGGGTTCTACTGCAATATTTTTCCTTTTATTAATGCAACACGTACCATCTATGTAAATGGTACTGCGAAATGAAAACGTTGTTGTTGCTGTCGTTTCCGGTTATTGCTTGATCTCCATGCCAGCGTGTGAAACAAAAGTCGAAAAAGGCGACTGCTCTGTTAGGTTTTGTACTTCTCAAGAAAAATTATACTTCAAGTTTGTATCTTTTTCTATCAATATCATGTATGAAATTTCGATCAAATGTGCCACCTTACCCTGGAAGACAGAGTCTTTTCATGCGCACGCGGTTTCCGCCTTCCGGTTGTAGTCACCGCTTGTCACTGGCGTCTAGGTACTGCATTTGATCTTATTAGAAGAGGGGTCAAGCAAAATCGCACTGTATTTTAGAGTTCGAGCTCTCGCTCGCGTCTTTTGGTTCATTTATTTTCGCGCGAAAAAGAATGTGCGGCCGCGCCGTGATCGCTTTCTGTTTTGGCGGGAAACAACCGGACCAAGTCCTGCAGTCCGTCAAAACAAATTTTGACAAGATGTCTTGTACTTCGAGTAAGATTATATTTCTTTCTGCTGTTGTTTCTTTTGTTTCAGCGCTTCTTCAGACACTGCCCAGCAATGCATTTATTTATAGCGAGGAAAAAGGAATGGTGGAAGCTGTATTATTCACGGACAAATTGTCCCAATTTCACGAACCATACAATTTGTTGCATCTCAAAGATGCGCACATGGCCATTCACTGCCAGTTGAGAAATCGAAGCTGGGATACTAAAAGCTCTCGAAATGCGTTGGTAAAGCTTTATTCAGGACAAGGCATGTCTCCTACTGTCACTTTCGTAACGTTAGACTGGTCAAAGTCGTACAAAATCGAAGATCTCGTTGAGGACGGTAGCGTTTATTGGACACTGAACATTTCAAAACACGAACTACTCGAGCACAGCCAAGGAGCGAGCAACGGCAAAGAACCGTGGACATACAAAGTTGAACTTGGGCTGAATCTCAACTTGTTTGAGTCTTGGGGAACGGTTGTCATCCCAGACATAGAACCTCTTCTTTCTGTGGAATTTGGCGATGATGTTACCGAAAATATCGCAGTTTCACCACCAAACAAGGCTCTATTTTGGCAGCATCCTTGCACCCCTGGGATAGCAATCTTTGTGCCGTTGCATAGAAGCGAGCAGTCTTTTACAGGTAAGCTGTATTGGTCATAATTTGGGTGTTCCATTGGGGGCATTTCTTTGAAAATAATACGAGGAATAATCGTTCTCCAAAACGGCCGTTGAGGGTGCTGTCCCAAAGTCCAGGCCAAGAAATAGGGAGTTCAAGGGCGCCCAATAGCCAGGACTTTGGGATTCCGGAGTGACTAGTGCGACTCTGTGTTTTTTGAGATCACAGGAGGCAAGAATTTAGTTTGAAACCTTTGGTTTGAAATTCTTCAGACAGAGAAATTCACATTTTTGGTCCCAAAATTGTTCCAAATGTAATTTCAAAAGGTGCTTACCAATCTGTATAGAAAAATTTAGAGCTTTAAGATTGGTTAACTATGCTGGTTCTTTATTCAGTTAGCTTAGATAACCAAATGCTAAGTTGAAAGATTTGAAATGTAGCCATCAGTTCAGTTTCTGCTAAATATTTCTTGGCAATGTTTTAAAACATTGTGGCAAAATGTAAGTTCTCATGATTGCTATTCTTGTATCAGGGTGCTATCTGGCAGTTACTTTTGGACGTTTTGCACAAAACACTACTCACTGGTATGATCTTCTTCACCATTCGGCACAACAACCAGATGTATACTCCATCTGTAAGGAGCCATCATTTGAAAGCTGCGAAGGATTGACAATCTTAGACTTAACAGTGGTGGATGGATGCCTTTTATTAGTTACTACCAAGGGTCTAATAAAGTCAGAGTCGTTTGAGATGGCCACAAAAGGAGTTAATAAAACAAAGGTACCATAACATGTGCATGCATTCAGTTTCCCTCAATCTGACTTAAAGGTACTTCATAATATAGGATAACTTAATTTTTGGAAGTTAGCATTTTTACCCATCATGATTATTATTGCTGTCATCATCTTCATTGTTTGTAGTAACCTACTGCTTTACTTGAGTGAAAGTTGTGTGCCTGAGGTATCTAGGGTAGCTTTTGCTGTACTTGGCATGCCAATGCTTGCAAGCAGTTTTGAGCCTCCATTGCAGGAACCCATCACACATTACCGTGGAAGGCAAAAATAAGTAGACGGGTGGGTGTAGGATCAGGGAATGCTAATACAAAACTGCTGGGAGGCTGTAGAACCAGTTCTTTCAGCCAACTGATATGAAACAGATCTGAAAAGTTGGAAATTTTTATACCGGCAAGTACCTTAATTGCAATGCAAAGTAGTAACACTGTATGTGATCCTGACTTTTCCAGTGAGTAAGGGCCACTGCACTGACTGGAAGAGGCCATTAACCTTGTGGTGGCTTTGGAATCTTGTATAGATGTTTGAACTTAATGTGAAAGTTTTTGGCAGTTACAAAAACACGCAACGCATAAGGGAACAAGAACTCCCAACCATAATTAGATATATTGGGAGAACATCTTGAGCTTGAGGAAAAAGGAACACTGCTATGTTTTCAACAAAAACAAAATTAAACTGTTTTTATTATTTTAGGTGAAGTTTTACCATGTGACCAACATCCACTCTGTTCTTGATGAAACCTTTAAACAGGGAACAGCAAAGTATGGAAACATTAAGCTGCACTACACATCTCAGTGTGACAGCCATGACCTGCCAAAACAAAAACATGTGGTGTATTTGGTTTACACACACACAAGGGTTGATGGTGATCATTCCATTCTCCTTACAAGTGAACCTCCATTTGATAAATGGTCTTCTTTGGATTTTCCTTACTTGCTGACAAGTATGTTACTTGGTGTTGCATGGGATCTCCAAAGAAATACAGTGGTATTACTCATGAAAGATGCACTGGAGGTTAAGAGGATTTTCTTCACATATCTTTGTTTATCTTTTGTCTTTCTACTTACATATTTCTCAGTTGCTTATTACCATGTTCTTGATTTGAGTTTTCAATGGGATTGGACAGTGGAGATACAATGCCGACCTTTATAAACATCTTAGTTAAATGACACAGCTTGCAGGTCATTTAAATGGAACATAATGGTCATAACCATTCCTGGAATACTGTTATGCAGTCTATAGCAAACTTTCTCCTCGTTCAATTTCCTAAATATATAACTGAGACAAGAAAGAAACCCTCTGTGGTAGCATTACTTTTTTGAGAGAGTGGTGGGGGTGGAGGAGGTGCTTATTTGAGTGTGGTGTTTATTTGCTTGTTTCAGCTATGCTGCGGGGGGAGACTCTTATTAAGGAAAAGGTTCTTGTTGGGATGTGAATTATGCTTTCCGAAAGGAATTATGGTATTGGTTTTGTCAGTGTTGAGTGTTTATTTAGCAGTTAGGAGAAGTGGACCTTGATTGCAGTGCTAGATCCAAGGAAGTTGATCAGCACAGTAGAATTACCAGTCATGAGATACTTTTATTAATAATGATTCATTTTGCATATCGTTCTAAACAGGACCATTCCTTGGTTGCAGTTATTGATCCACAATCCCAACAACTTTTGCAGCCAACGTTTCGATTTCCACAGTATGTCAACTTACAAATGATATCTTTCCATGCTCATACCCATGTGATTTTTGTCTATGGATCTGAGGTAAGTAAATATGAAACATTAAGCAAATATATGGTAATTCGTTCTTCAATCCATCCACATAATCCACCTCTGGCAGTCAAACCACCCTCTCCTCCCCCCCCATTGAACTTTCGTATTGTCCATCCAGGTATCATAATGTAGCCTGCTCCAGATGTTGGGATGGTTGGGAGCTTCGCGAAGTAAATAAAGCGAGAAAAAGTGGAGGAGGGACTTGGGAGAGCAGCGAGGGAACTCGTTTTCATTTTTTCGCGCCCCTTTTTACTTCGCGCCCCCCTCCACTATTTGAACGCCTGGAACAGGCTAGGGATAATGTTATGCAGATTTAAGACTTTTGCTCTCGTCACCTGCACGGTTTCGTAAGAGCATAATCTATGCACCCACCAGGCCCACCACCCCATTCAACTTTCCTTATCGTCCATACAAGCATATTATTATGCATATTGAAGACTTTTCCAATCTTTAACTGTGTGGTTTCCTAAGTTCCTAATCTATCCACCCACTAGTCCCCCCAACTTCCTATTTTCTGTTCCTGCGTAAAATCGTGAATTGTTTTCATTTAAAACTTCCATTTTATTATTTAACATTTAAGAGTCCTTCATAAAATCGTTGTTGCGAGAAACGAGCCGCTCTCTGGCAATTCTAGCAAATAATCATTTTTTGTCGTTCTCTGAACGATGATTATAAATATTTAATTTTGTACATTTTATCCTGTCGTTGCATAAGTTGTAGAGGTTGCGTTGGCTCACTTAAAGCTTAGTGTGAGAAGTTTTTTCCTCTGAAAAGAAGAATTTCCAATTACTTTGTTAGCGTCATACATTTGTTACTTTAGTTCTTCTTGTGATCTAAATCTTTATTCCTTGGTGCAATGTACCAAGTACCTTGAAGGTGGATTGCAACTACTTTCGACAGCACCTACACTGTATAAAGCAACTGGATTTGCCGTTCAATTTAAATTAAATTGTCTTCTTATTTCATTACCACTGAAATAAAGAAATTCACAAATGTATCCTTCTGAAAAAGAGATTCCAACATGCAGTATTTGGAACATATAGGTGTGGCTCTCACTCGATGGAGGGAACTCGTTTATCCCGGTACTGGACAGGTACTTGAGGGGTGATGCTGTGACATCACTGTTTGCTAACACATTGGGAGATGGTTTTGTACTGGTTACAGACCGTGGTGCCGTGTACAGTGGCTGGTCGGGAATTCCACGGGTTAGCCAGATTGAACAAGCAAGCACAAATTCCAGCTGCCTCTTCAAGATTGCCAACTTTCGGCAGCCAAAGTCAACAAACGTAGTGTGCATACGGAACGCCTCTAATGCTTTAGACTTCATTACCTATACAATTGATTTAGGATTAAGGATTCAAGCAGATACGATTCTCCTTTTCAGGCCACTTCTTGTTACGTTTATCACAGAAAGAGAAATACATTTTACTGCATTTTGTGGCGACGCGTTTTTCTCAGACCAGATTAGCTGCTCCAATTCTTTCCTTTTGTCTGATGTTGGACGCGTTCTACGAATGCGAAATGGTGGTTCTGTCATGATAACTAACGTTGAACAAAGTGAAACAGATCCAGATGATTTCAGTCCTCGTGTGACTGGTCGTATCTTAAAACCAATCCCATTTGTAAAGGATTCAGAATCGCCAGCACTTAAGTTTACCTTGCAAGTAAACATTACGGACTCTTATGCCTATTTACAGTTGCAAAACTCTCTCAACTATTCAGGCTGGCAAGGTGAGGACATTGGAAAGACAATTCATCTTCCCAGCGGAATCAATCTTATTGTATCTTCTTGCAGTAGCATTTCATCTGCAATTGGCCGGCTACCGGTAACATGGAACAATACTATAACATACTTCGGGATATTCGAAGAAGGCACTTGGTTTCTTATAGACTTTCGTCCTTTTCACGCCCTTCGTCCTACCGGCTCTCCTGTACTTTACATTAACGGCAGTCTGGCTAAAATAGTTAATGGATCTGAGCATTTTTCATTCACAAGTGAAATGATAGGAGAAATTATCAAACACGAGCACGGGTGGGGAAGCATCGCTGCTGTTATCAGCAACACTTCAGTCAGTATCATAACTTCTTACAACTCCACACCAGATAATTTCACAAACAAGTGGGGTATTTACAAGGCGCAAGTCGACAGTGATAAATATACTGCTTACATTCCGTCTCCTCAGCTTCAAGGTTGGTGGCTAGCAGAGGACAAGTGTCGGTATTTTCTTGTTGAAGACCCGCCTAGTAGGCTCGAACTGTATCATTTGGATTCTGGGGAGAAACTGTCCTTCACCCTCCAAGCAATTAGCAAAGGCACTGCCGCAGAAAGCCCAATGGAACCTATGTTACGACTCTATGTTGGAAACACTCTTTTGTTTCATGTAAACTCACATTATACTTTCTTCAACATGAACAATACCTTACATGTTACTTTAACAAAGAGACCCTTTATCAGTGGGATATCATCAGTTTCTGTGAGACTTCATCAAATTGCTTCTCTGTTATGCAAGGAGGCGTCATACACAGTACACGGAGGCTGTCCGCCGTCTAAAAAGTTACGTTTTCTGTACCCAGTGTTGTTCTCTTTGAATGACTTCTTGAACGGAGAAGTCACCGACTATAAAGGAATCCTGAGGAACATGAAGCTGCCATTTAACTACAGAGCTCCCTCCTCCAGGGGTAAAGCAATACCGATGTCTGAAAATACGTATAATGTCGATCCACAGAAACCGCTCTATAAAACCACATACGCCGTAACACGGAATACGCTACGTTATAAACAATGCAAAGGGAAACAATATCGTTCTGAGTGTGGTTGTACTGACGAAATGAGAGGGTCTTCACTGGTAATACACTCCGATTGTATAGATACCGTGTATAGTATGATGTTTAGTGAAACTCTCACACCGCGTTTCGTTCTTTTACAAGAAAGCAGAGATACGCATCCTCTTAGCTTTCCATTTTATCTCGAAGAACTAAATCAAAGGAAGGATTTCATGATTATCTCACCTAGCGAGTTAACATTCTCAGAAATCTCTTCACCAGTGCTGAGTCAAGACCTGAACAGTTCTATACAGTTTGAAGGCTCGGGTTTATACCACTTTCGTGCTCATGTTGTGCAGAGTAACTACACATTCTGTGCTTTGACCGACGAATTTATGGTATATGTTGTTGACACACCCTTACCCTTTCCAGTTAATGACATTGTACGGGCCTGTACTGGAATGGGATTCGTAACTTTGTTGTTTGTCGTTTTTATACGCCATTTTCATGGAAAGAAAAAGATGAAAAATGATTAGGTGAGTTGCTTGCATTTTACGTTTTCCTTTTGTCAATTTAAATAGGTCTCGCTAAGAATCAAACTGTTGTAGAGTTTTTTAACGACCATTTTTTGCAAGTTTTCTTTTCTTTTCTTTTGTTCATTTTCTGTTTCTGTTTCCCTTCTCTGCATTTATTCGCGGTACGTAATATTTCATGGTTTACTGTTATAGAAATTAAGTTCTACACGCAAAATGTTATTATTAGTAGTAGTAGGCTAGATGAACGGTCTTCTGCAAAATTACCAAATTGATAGTCAAAATCCTTGAATATTTGAGTCGTGGTTCCATTGCCTCTGTACAAGATGTACAATTTTACCCTATTGAAATGTAGATTCTGTTCCCTGACTTCACTATTGTCGTCGGTAACTGATGGCAGGGAAAATCAGCTAGTTTGTAGTTAAGAAATATCTCGATCGCAAACGTCTTACGACCGCTTCTGCCGCTTTTGTGCTTGTGTTTTGTCTCAACACTGCATTTATATCTATGAGTTTTCGATCACTATATCCTAGCTTGTTTACATGCTTTCTTGAATTGTTTAACACGAGAACTAATCAAGGTTAATAACTTCTTCGTATTTGTACTGTACAAACACAATTAAATACAATTATCGGAAAAGGTAGGGCTTAGGAGTTTAAAAAGACTACCAAACGTTCAGCTAATCGTTACTGTATATTTCTAGAAAAGCATTTTAAGATGTTTGTACCAAAAGTCGCAACGAGAGGATTGTTTTTTAAACAGTGGTCAGATCCTTATGTCTTTTTTCTTCTTTAAGCATGCTTCGGTATTTACATGTTTTTTCATTGCCCGAGGGATTTATAATTTGCATGTAATTAAAAAGATCGACTTTTATTTTTAGTTTAACTTCTCATGTACTTTTAGTCAGAGTGTAACAGCGCAATCCTTTTACCAGATTCATTTTTAACCCTCTATATGTGTTGATTCTTCTTGCCTGACAAACTCGTCTTTTCCTGTGAAGTTAATCGATGTAAGGTGCCCGATTATTCGTAGCTATGTTTGGAGAATTTGAGTACAACGGGCGTAAAAAGGGAATTTAATTGTGAAGTGCAGCGAAGTAATCTCTTTTGCCAAACCATTAACTGCTCGTTGTTTAAGTGCTAATCGGTTAACTTTTCTTAACAAACCTGATGTTTATGGTTATGCGTGAAAATAAGCAAAACATGTACATTTATGAGAATGTTAAGTTCATCGTTATTTTTTGTGTACAGAAGGTAATTGTTTTGTGTACAATTGAATAGCCGACGTTCTTAATCGGCTCCACTAAACAAACACCTTCATGAAAAGAATGTGGTTTAATTCAAAACGAAAAGCCGGTGTTGCTCACTGCATCGATCGTCCTCTTATGCGAACCTTACAGTAGCGCGAGAACTGTTAAAGTTGTTCAACTCTTACAAAAGAAACTTGATTGAACTATTCCACCATAGAGGGACTAGAGATATTCATACTTAAATGGATAACAAAGAACACTCAGGCCGTGTTTTTGCAAAACAACCCTTGTTGACTAAAAGAAGAGATTTATCGTATGGGGTTTTCAAGAGAGAAAGCGTCCAGAAAAGTGCTAAGGAAGCCAGTATCACCGAGAACGACACAAATAATGAGAGGAACGAAACTCGAATCGCTAAACTGGCGCGTCGTACCAGCGCACCAGCAGAATTACCACCAATTAAGAGCGTATTTCCAAAGCTCCCTTTGCAAAGACCGAGGGCGCGCACTCTGTCTTTACGAGGAGAAGACAACGAAATGCTTAGGCAGCAGAGGAGTCTAGGGAAGCAAGAATCAAATACCCCCGTATGTCCAATCATGATTTGTGAAAACTCGTCTGCGGATCGCTCTTTTGCCAAAACAAATCACTCGGGAGAAAATGGACCGAGGCAAAGACCTTTAACGGGCTTGACCAATAATTGCATTTCAACGAATACGCACAGTCTAGTTATTAACGATGAGAAGTGTACCTTGAATCGAAACCCAAGGCAACTTGTTGGCCGAAAAGGCTTGACTCAGGAGGCGCTTATATGCCACGAACTAGGGTACGCAGAAGAAGATGAATACTCGTGTAACAACAAAAAGGACATGATAGTGCGGTGGCTTAATTCAGAAACAATAAATAGCGGCTCTCGCCCTTTTCCACAGCTCTAGTGACTAACGTAATGACTTTATAAAATGTAATGCCTTAAGATCTCATAACGATTTTAATACGGTATAAAGTGAACTTATGATCAAAAAAGTGCTGCAAGGCGTTTCAGTTGATTTGAAGTGACAGAATCCGTTGTAATCATCTATCGTAAGTAATAAAGCCATTTCCATTCGTTGAGTGCTGTAACCATAGTCGGACCCCACTTTTATTCGTACCTGGGAAATGCTCTTACATTTTTACGGACACGCGTTACCCTTTAGGCCCCAAGAGTGACCAACATCAATTTTCTCCTAGCAACATCAGCAGATCATCAAGAGTAAGGGTTATGCGAATTACTAAATTGATTACCAAAGGGAGAACGCTTTGTTCTTAAACCAAATTCTCTCAACTATTCTTAAAAAGAAATGTATGGAGATAAGTCTGGAGAATTTGTATGTGGATCTTGGGGCTCAAAGGGTTAATGCAGGCAACAGCACTAGTTTCTTACCCATTCAACAGATTCTCATCGCTAATACCTAGACTCAGGCTCTTGGTGATTGTCAACTGTGTTCTGTAATAGACCTTTCCTTTTTGAGGGTAAAAAAAATTGACGATGCTTATGTCTTGTTTCTTTAGCATTTTGTTTAAATAATAGGTGACACACTTGATACGAACACCCCTTTGAGACGGACATTTTCTATTGCCCCTTCAGGGGTTTGACCGTATTACATAACATTGCAGCAATGACCACTGATCTGTCAGTGATGTAACAGGGGTATTGAGCTGAGTACGTTTGTGGTCGTCCCTTATCTCTCACAGAAGTGCAGGTTTGATTATCGGACCCTTCGTTTGTGATTCTTGGCCCTTCTCTCTAGGTTTTAGCCAAGTTTTCCGATTCCTCTCTGTAAGCGCCAGGAATGTTTTCCGTTACCTTTGTAGTATTTTTATGTTCGCCGCGTTCTTAGTTATTTTCGTGTTCGCGCCTTTAGTGCTGTTGTTTGGTTCATTAGTTTTTCATTGTCCGCGTAGTTTTGTCCTTCGTGTTAGGATTTTTCTGCATATCGTATATTTAGCTTTTATTGTAATTTTTCGCGTCAGTTCTTCGTTTAGCTGCGCTTGGTCCGGTTTACAGTTTAATGTTTGGGTTTTGCTCGTCCTAGTTTTTCGTCCTTATCTCGCTATCGTCTTTACCGCTGTACTTCGCTATACTTCGCTGTACTTCGCTATACTTCGCTGTACTTCGCTATACTTCGCTATACTTCGCTATACTTCGTTATGCTTCACATCGGTTCACTTGTTTCCCTGCACCAGTTGTAGAAGTTCTAGAATAAAGTTTGTGTGTTAAAAACTATAGCGCGTAAAGGCTGCGACTATACTCTCCCTCCATAAAACTAGCTGTAATTCCAGTTCGCTCAGGATTCGAGGGCCACAGGTTGTCAGTCTGCAACGACTGTTGAGTGCCACCGTTGTAAAATAGAGATGATTTAGGGGAAGTTCGTGATCACTCTTGTATCCAGGTGGTCACGTTACCGAAATTCCTGAGTTCAAACCGCTTAAAATATTTGCAAGAGCTTAAAATATTCTTCGAGAACTTATCTTTAATTTTCCAAAATTTTACTCATGGAAACCAGTCCATATCCACATGTTTTAAGTGTAACGGCTCCAAATGTGCTATTCTTAACTTCACCTCTCTACTTCGATTCAATTCAATTCAATTCTTTATTGTACACTATATAAGACATTTACACAAGTTAGATACAAGTACAAGGAAACAAAATGGATGCTAAGTAATCATTAGGCTAAAAAGAGATAATGTACATATGTGGGCAGTGTCTAAAGGACCAAGAGCTGTTAGTTGGACACCGTCACGTTCAGAAAAATGGCAGCGAAAAAAAGAAGAGAAAAAAATAACTCAAATTACATTAGTGATGAAAAAGCATGCAAAGTAAGGGTAAGATCAAGTTTGTTTGATGAAAAGATAGTATTTCCATTCTTTCTTAAGTTTATAATATGGTAGACATTTGAGACCAAGTGGCACAGTTTCCCAGATTTTTGAACCAGGAAATTTAAAAGACGTTTTACATAAATTGGTGGATACTCTTGGTCTAAAAAAATTCAGTTTACTAGCAAACTTGTATTAATTTGTATTATAATTGTCCATACTAGATGCTAGAGTCAGGACATCAAGGAAAATATCTCTAATGCTATCAGTTTCATTCCTTATCCTTTGTATAAGGCAGCATGTTTTTAGCTTATACAGTGAAACTTCCTTAAAACGGACACCAAGGGGACAGAACCAACTGTCCTCTTTACAGAGGTGTCCGTATTATAAAGGTAGGGAATGTATGATTTTTGGCATTTCTGGGACCAAACGAACTGTTTGTAATAGAGAGGTTTTCGTATCCGTGTCCGTAAGGAGAGGTTAGACTGTATATATATATATATATATATATATATATATATATATATATATATATTGTCTCAATTTAAGAACTAGAACTGCTAAGAGCTTGTGATAGGGACCAGGACTCCCTCTAGTATGCGTAAAGAAGATGCTTCGGAGACATTTGTTCTGCTTAATACCAAGACGTTTAAAACATCAGGAACAATACCAGTTTCAATAGACTGTTTATATTTTCATCAACATATTTTGGAATATCTAAGGATGACTTATGATCATTCAAACATTCAAATAAACATACTTGGGTTTCAGTAAGATAAATAGGACATAACAAAGCTAGCTGCCGAAGTCGATCTTATGAATTGTGTTGGACTTCCTTCACAATTTTCAATTTTTATAGCCAGGTTAGGACCCATATTGACAAAATGCTCGTTTAATTGATCAGCA